GTGCTTTTTTCTCTCTTCTCTACAGATTGGATAATTTATATTGATCTGCCTTCAAGTTCACTGAATCTTTTCTCCATCCACTCTGCTATTGAATACATTCAGTGAAATTTTATTTCAGATAGTGTGTTTTGGAGTTCAAAAATGTCCACTTGGTCCTGTTTTGTATGGTTTCTATTTTTCTGCAAAGAGGTCCTGTCCTTTCATTCATTCAAATATGTTTACTCTGATCTCATGGATCATAGTTACAGCAGATGCTAATAATTCCAACATCTGGATCACTTTGGAATTGACATTTATTGTTTTTATCTTCAAAAGTTGGTCATTTTTTTCTGGTTCTTTATATGACAAGCAATTTTGGAATGTAGACTGGACCTTTGGAATATTATGAGACTTGGGTTCCTATTGAAATCTGAAGAATGGTGGTGGTTTTTCTTGTTTAATGGTCAGTCAGTCAAGTTCATTCTGCGAGTTCTGTCTCGCCTTCTAAGTGGGCAAGGTTCTAAGGTCAGTGAAAGTTAAAGACTTAGCTGGGCTGCCTTGGGCTTGCCCCACACCTGGGCAGCTCTGGGGGAGCTCAGGACTTATTCCAGTTCATGTATAGGATCAGGTGATCCCCTTCTCCAGTGTTCACCTTTCTATGATTCCCTTCTAAATCTGGCTTGCGGAGCCCATTTTTGAGGTCCTCTGGCCAGGGACAGGGATCACTTAGAGTTCAGTTTACCTGTTAGATTGCCTCACAGTTTTTCATCACCAGGGTTGCCCTTGGGTAAAGTGGAGAGAGAAAAGAAAAATGTTCCATACAAACCTTGAGCCTTACCTATGTGAGTGTGTGTGCGTGCATACGGACATTTTTTTTTTTCAGAACACGGGGGACCCCTTTTCTCTAATTCTTTTGGCCACACTTTATAGAATGTCTCTCAGAGTTGTAGCTCTCTGCAGTGCCAATGTGCAGTTCTGCAACTGGGGTCACTTTGAGCAAGTACCCGGATTAAAACTGTGTGTGTGTCAGCACACACATGTGTAAAAACAGAGGATTCCCTCCCATAGCTTTCAGCCCACAGAGACCCTTTCCCCAATCCTTTTTGACTGCAAAGACAAGGATCGTGTGAGAGGATTTTGCTGCCCATTATACAGTTCTTTTTACTCTAGGGGAGAAAAAAAGAAACATTTAAAAATGAAACCAAATGTGAAAATCTCCCCTGTACAGATTGCTTCTACATGTTTTCACCCCCTTGCCTAGTCTGCCTGCTGTTTACTTTTTAAAGTTCTCAAGTGGTGGCTTTTTGTGTCTGTCCTAAGTTTTTCTTTGTAATTGTGAGAGACACAGATCCTTAGAAGGCTAAGTTCACCTTGGTCAAACCCAGAGCTATGTTTGTCCTATATTTTCTAATCTTTTTCGAGAAACAGTTCATGCTGACTTGATTATTGACTCTACCTTTTTTCTTTGTAGGTTTCTATGGGACTATCTCCAGCCCTGATTTAGGAGTGCATGAAATGCAGATTGGCCCCATCCTCTTCCAGGTGGCCTCTGGAGATATCACCAAAGAGGCAGCAGATGTGATTGTAAATTCAACATCAAATACGTTTAATCTCAAAGCAGGTACTTCACTAGTATGGTTTTCACTAGTGTAATTATTGACCTGGTAGATCCTATGAAGGAAGGTTTCTATAGCCAAGCTGGTTTTGATAACTTTGGCTTATTGATATTAATTTTTTAAAAAATTATTTTGACAAGTGTTCTTATAATTGGCACTAGTTATTTTATGAGTTTTTCTTCCTCTTATTGGCAATACCTAGGTTATAGGATTTCGTTGAAAATGAGGAATGTGTTTAGATAATAAGCTGATCTTTCTGATCCAAATGCACTGTCATGATTTTATTCATATTTGTTACCATCTTGATTTTCTTGTGTAGGTGTCTCCAAAGCAATTCTAGAATGTGCAGGACAAAATGTGGAGGCGGAATGTTCTCGCATGGGTAAGGCAAAATGCTATCTTCTGGTCCCAAATTATGAGCAGAAGCCTGAATAGGGAAGGCTTTGAAGAGCTGAGGAATGTCTTGGGATTGGGAAGACAACACATTAGTCTTAAAAATCATACAGTTTAATCATCTATTCCTGGAAGATTAGCCAACATCTCATCAATCAATCATCGATCAATCATCAGTCAATCATCTATCTATCAGTCTTTGGCAAACACCCACCAATTCAAATGGTAGAATAGGAGAAGTAAAAAAATAATCTCACAGTTAGAAAGAGAAATTAAGCCACAATTTCATCAAAGAAGGTTTCTTATTTTTGCTTACTAAACAAAGAATAGCTTCAACATCTAATTTTCTATCTTTTTTTTCTTCATCCGTGTTTCCCAGCTCAACAAGGCAAAAACGAGTATATAATTACAGAAGGTGGATTACTGAGGTGCAAGAATATCATCCATGTTGTTGGTGGAAATGATATCAAGAAGTCAGTTACCTATGTTTTGCAAGAGTGTGAGAAACGGAATTACTCATCCATTTGCCTCCCAGCCATTGGGACAGGTGTGTAGCCACTGGCTATCAACGCTGAATCCCACAGTGTCGAGTTTCCCTTAGGTCTGGTGCTGAGTGTGAATGTGGGTGATACACAATGAATCTGAGGGACAGCAGAGACAGTTAATCTAGGAGTGGACAGATTCCTCACCCCAAGGCGGTCACTTAGGGAATGAGAAAAGCCTGGAGGTGGTTAAAGAGAAAAGAATGAGCTGGGTGCCATGACATGTGCTTATAGTTTGGGTTACTAGGGAGGCTGAGGCAGGAGGATCACTTGAGCCCAGGAGTTCGAGGCCAGTGTGGGCAACTTAGACCCCATCTCAAAAAATAAATAAGAAAGATAGGAAGAAAGAAAGGAGGGAGGGCAGAAGGGAGGAAGAAAAGAAAGAGGAAAAAGTGAAAAAAGAAAAGAATTGAAGAGAATGTGGGATGTCAGAGAGAAAGGAAGGGAAAGAGAGGGAGAAGAAAAGGAGGTGAGTGGAAGGAGAGACTTTCCCTCCGGCTGTTTCATCAGCTCTCTCTTTATTGACTCCCTGTGTATCCTCCATTGTTTCATTCTTAACTTCCTCTTCTGTCCCCTCCACGTGGACCACATCTGTGCAGCTGCTTCCATCTGGCTCATCTGACCTCTGGGTGAGCACCTGCAGCCCTCCACTCAGTGGTTGCCTGTGTCTGCTGGCCTTGGACCTCTGTACAGAAGCCTCTCGGTCCGCAGAACCTCTGGGTCAGAAACTCAGCTCTACACCTTCCTTTTTCCAGCCAACTTCTTTTGAGTTTCTTATTTTCCTCAACCTGTGCAATGACTGTGGTTCTTTATAGATAAGCATAGTGCTTTGGGTTTATCATTAGTGAGCTGAAGCCCTTCAAGCTCTTCCCCCCAGAATCAGAGTCATGTTAGGAATTTCTGCTTGGTCTCCCTTAGAGAGCAGGCCAGGAGTGGCACCTACTCTCAGACTGGACATCTCAGAGGATAGTGTCTGACTGGTCCCAGTGAGTGAGCACTGAGCATTGGAACTGACATTCTGTTGCTGAAAATCTATGAGTATCTTAGACTGGCACCAGCCTCTCCCAAAGTTCATTCTCAATAAGTTTAATCATCCTTGTCATTTTCTGGGCCTTCTTCTAAACTTTTGATCCATATCTTTCTTTCTGCAATTCTATGCCATTGCTCATAAAGTTCCTAAAAGGAATTTCATGTCTGCTTTACTACTTTTATTTCTAAAATTATAATTTATGATCCTTATATGTTTTTGTTCTCCAGTGATATCATCCATTCCTGGAAGATTAGCCAACATTTCAACAATCAATCAATCAATCAATCATCTATCTATCAGTCTTTGGCAAACACCCACCAATGGCTCCCCAGTCTCTGTCTTCATCTTTATTTCCCTGTGATATCTAATCTTGTGTTTCCACCTTAAGTTACTTTGGGACAATAAAGCAGCAGCTCAGTTGTGGCACAGATCTTCCCTGGGTAGAGTTAAAAGAAACAAGGGAAGGTGGACATTTTAGTATTGTGTAAATATATACACATCTTGCAGTATGTCTTAGTTACTGCCAACCTGTTGTTTCTTCTGCTGACCTGGTCTGAACAAATAAATCAGGGTTGGCAGGCTCTTCTTGCTTGTCTTCTTTGGCTGTCTTCTTCACCACCTGAGCTGGTCTTTGGACCCCCAGATGGGAAGAGTTATGGTTGGGACCATTAATGTCACCCCAAAAGCTCATGCCCCAAAAGCATTAGACAATGAAGGAATATTCAAAAGTGTAATGATTAGATTATTAGAGTTATAATCTCATTGCTGCGTTAATCCACAAGATGGATTAATAATTTGAGTGAACTACTGGGTGCCAACTATAGGGAGGTTGAGGGTGGTGGAGGAAGTTGGTCACTGGGTGTATGCCCCTGGACAACAGCTTGTCCCTGGCTCCTCTCTTGTCTCTCTCTGCTTCTTGCCAACCATGAACTGAGCAGCTTTCCTCCACCACACTTTTCTATCATAATGTTCTGCCTCATTTGGTCCCAGAGCAGTGGAGTCAGCCAACTATGAACTGAACCTATGAAACTGTAAGCCCCAAATAAACTTTTCCTCTGCTGTTTTTCTGATCAGGCCTTTTGACCACAGTGACTGGGAACATCCACCTTAGTGATGTTTATGAGTTGCCCTGTGACTGTGATCAAGACAGCTTCCTGCAGGGAAGGCCTTCTCCTTATTCCTTATAGACACCTGCATAAGGGGAGGGAATGGCTGATCAAAAACACCTGAGAGTCAGTGCAAACTCCAAATTCCCATTCATTGTCTTCCCCCTCAATCTTGCCTTCCCCCTTAAATCCCCAGGTGTGTGAAAAGCTTTACTTTCCATCTGGAATCCTTGAGTCCTTGTCATTCTTATGCTCATTAGATTGCTAGTTAGTTTAAATATATATATGTGCCAGACACAGTCGATAGAAAGATGACTAAGAGTCCAGTCCACAGGAGCACCTAGCCTGGAGGTAAATGAGTTAGGTAAATGAACACCTGCAGTACAACGTGACCCATGATATGGTGAAGGTATGTGGGGGAAAAAGAGAGGAAGGGAAGGGTCAAGGACAAACTCTGCTGGTCATAGTCCTCCTGATTTGGCTTCCTAAATATCTCCCCGTTCCTATACCCTACTCTTCATTATGGCCTCTTGTCTTTCTTAGTTCAGCACTTGTGTTTCGCCTAAAGTCTTATATTAGTTTCCTACCTAGAGCTGGATTCCCCACTCCAATGCCTTCTCTATCCCCTCCAGATTTATCTTTCTCAAAAATTGGTGTGCTTTCTTGTCCAGGCCAGGCTGAACATACCATTCCCCTGAGACACAGTTCTATCTGGCATAAGTTTTCCAAACTTCCCCCATTGTTTATTCCACATATCACACACATTCTCTGTGTCCTAATAAGTGGCTAGCTGAATATCTATCCTGTTATGGGACATGGTAGATGTTTATTGAGAGTGAATGAATGAATCTAAATTCTTCCAAGTACCACGTGAAAACCACAGCTTTTTATGGAGTTTCCTTCTGTCCCTGATCATTTCATTTAAAAAGCTGAAAAAACTCTCTTGATTAATTTTACATAGGGATCGTCCACATTGCCACAATTGTTTACATTGTCAACTCAAAGAGGTCTACTCTCATTTTCTGTGATGGTGGTAGACACCATCATTAGGGATAATCCAAATCAGCTCCCTAATCAGTCATACCAGGTTTGGTGACATTTTTACATTGCCTACTATGTGACCTTGCCAGCTGACATTCACATGGACCACTTCCATAAGCTGAAAGGGACTTTTCATGATCTTACCTAGGCAGTGGCTTTCATGACTTGAGAAAAACATGCTGAAAACAGGAATGGATCTGATTACTGGGCTACCTTGAACTCTGGTGGTTCAAGGAGGAAAAAACACTTCTGTGTGTGGGAGAAAAGACTTCCTGGAGGCTTAGGATAACTTGTGTGCAAAGAATTATAGATTATGACTATTAGCTGACAGTTCTGGGTATCATATAAAATTATCTTAGTTGAAATCAATTCCCCCAAAGAAAAATAAAAATGGGGACAGATATTATGGAAATCAAAGGGAGATCAGTAGAGGAAAGCAATCAAGGAGTGGGGGAGAAGAGTGCTGGGGAATGATATTGGCCAAATTATATTGTTATATTGTGTGCATGTACAAATATATGACAACAAATCCCAGAATTATGTACAACTATAATGTACCAATAAGACAATGCGGAAAAAATTACACATTAAAAAAATAAAATGAAATTAGGTCCCCCAAAATATCTGTGAAAATATGGACACATGCACAAAATCAAGTGATGACTGAGTAAAAAAGAACCTTTTTCTCTCTAAAGAGCGTATTGTTTCAACATATATTAGCGTCTCCTGCTTTTTATGGATCCTTTGAATCCACTAGTGAGCCAAAAAGAAAAGTTCTCAGGGACAGAACTTTGTACTCTGTAACAGGACACAGTGATCTGGGATCAGCAGAACAGGTCAGATAGAAATGTCAGAAACCAGAAGTTAGGTTTCAGGATCCCTGTTACTTACTCAGTTGTTGGCTTCCTTGACATCCTGGGTGGAAAAACTCCCCATTGCATCCAGGATTTCAAAAGTGTTTGCAGATGTATTGTATTTCAAAAGTGTTTGCAGTTCAACGTTGTGACCCTTGATACGGTGAAGGTATGTGGGTGGCAAAAATTGGATGAACAATTGGGGAGTGGGCATTTATTCTGTGAGATTTGTAATGCCTAATTTATTCCTGAGCTTTTTTTTTTTTAAATTTTTTTTCCCTGCTAGTCATTTTTTGTTATTTGCTTTTCCAGGACAAGCCCAACAAAACCCAGATACGGCTGCTGAAGGCACAATGGATGCCATTGAAGACTTCGTCCAGAAAGGATCCGTCCAGTCTGTGAAAAAAGTGAAAGTTGTTATCCTTCTGCCCCAGATCCTGGATGTGTTTTATGCCACCATGAAAAAAAGAGAAGGATCTCAGGCTGCCCCTCAGCAGTCTGTGATGTCTAAATTTGCCTGTGAGTTGTTCATTTCTACTTCATATGTAATTCCTAATATTGCCATCACATGAGAAATAGCTAATCTTCCTTTTCTCTTTAGCATTTTTGGGCTTTTCAAAGCAATCTCCCAAAAAACGGAATCCCTTGGTTTTGGAAAAGAAAACAGAATTGGTAGTTTTCCAGGTGTGTGGTGAAAACATAAACAATGTGGACAAAACTATCTCCTGGCTACAAGAACTGATTAAAAAGGAGCAGTGTTCTTACACCAGTGAAGATGAGTGTATCAAAGACTTTGATGAAAAGGAGTACCAGAAACTGAATGAGCTACAGAAGACTTTAAATATTACCATTTCCCTGAACCAGAAGAGACCTTTAATTGAGGTTTTGGGAATTAGCAGAGATGTGCTACAGGCTCGAAATGAAATTGAGGAAATGATCAAGAGCATTCGATTGGCCAAAGAAAAGGAAACCCGGGCAGATTGCATCAGTGAATTTATAGAATGGCAATATGATGACAATAACGTTTTTGTTCCTTTTGACAAAATGACCAGTCTGAAATTGGAGGATGCAAGAAGAGCAAAGATTAAGAACGTTGTTGTCAAAATTAATAATCAGAACTATACAGTGAATCTGAACACATACATTGCCACAGGTCCACATGGACACAGTGTAACTATTCAGCGCCTCACAAAATCTGAAGGTGAGTTAGATTTTCATGCTTGTCCTCTGTCATTTTAAACCTTCTTTGGGCTTAACACTATTTGGATATGTATTAAATTTTCAAGTAGCTAAAACTCCAGTAACCCTAATGGAATAAACTAAAAGACTTGGTCTCTGAGCTTAAAGAGTTTACTCTTTGGCCAGGGACACACAGCATGGACATAACCCCATAGTCTGAGAATGCCCATCTTAATAATACCAATAGCCAAACCTTGCATTTGTTCCTGTCTCTAATTTATGAGCTTCCCCAGAACCAGCTCTGCTGGGGAGGTAATGGCTGCATCAGCCACAGAAGGGAAGAAAATAGGCCCAAAGAGAAAGTGGCCCAAGATTTTCTAGAGGGGAAAAAACAGGACAGAATGGTCAGAGGGGGCCTCTCTGTGTCCCTGGTGATCCTGGGAGCATCCTAATTCTATTCCCAGAAGTCATCTCTGTCCTGAGCAGCAATTTCCTCGACACACATCAGGAAGCCACCCATGGATCCTGAGCCATCCCCAAGAAGGGAATGCCTGTCCCATGTAAACCCCATCCCTGCCCTCGACACATAAGTCGCCCAGTGGAAAGCAGTAACTTGGCTTCCCGTACACCATGTTCATCTCTTGTGAGATGAGTATGAATGAATTCCAGAGATCCTGAGCATGTTGGGGGAAATGACGTGACCAATCATGTGTAGTAGTCAGGATAGGAGGGAGGTCTGCCACCACAACCTGCCAAATGGCAAAATGTACCCCACACTGACTTCTTAAGGACATGGTGAAAATCAATGAGAAAATAGATGTGGAGTACACTGTGGTGATGGCAAGGAGGGGTTCTGGCAAATTCTATGCATAAGCAAAAGAATAGTAACTATTTCAGACAGGTAGGAAAATAATGTGTTGTTTAATTGTGCCAGAGTAGAGGCTGAATAGAAACTAAAGATGAGGTATAGTGCACCAGTGGTTCTCCCATCTTAGCATGATCAGAACTTAAGATGAAGAGTCTCGGGCTTCACCCCTGGAGACCTTATTCAACAGGTGTGAGGTTTCCGTTTTGTTTGGTGTCGTGGTTCAAACCCATTATGCAGGCTCAGCAATGTTTTATCGCTGAGCTGAATCCTAGCCTCTCTGGTTTGTTTAGTTTGTTATTTTTTGTATGTACTTAGGTACTAGGAATTGAACCCAGGGGCTCTACCACTGAGCTACATCCCGAGGCCTTTTTAATTTTTTTTTTTTTTTAATTTGAAACAGTTTCTCTCTAATTGCCTGGGCTGGCCTGAACCTGGGATCCTGTTGTCTCAGCCTCCTGAGTTGCTGGGATTATAGGTGCGCCACTGTGCCTGGCCCCTTTTCTTTTCTTTCCTTTTTTTTTTTTTTTAAACCTTTATTGTATTTATTTATTTTTATGTGGTGCTGAGGATCAAACCCAGTGTCTCACACATGCCAGGCAGGCACTTTACCACTGAGCCACAACTACAGCCCTTTTTTAAAATGTATTTTTTAGTTGTATTTTTTAGTCTGTGAAAATATGGAAATATGCACAAATTCATTTTTTTTTATGTGGTGCTAAGGATTGAACCCAGCACCTTGCATGTGCTAGGCAAGCACTCTACCGCTAAGCCCCAGCCCCAGCCCCTCTTCTGTTCTTTTTAATAATAAGAATTCAGTTGGTTCTGATATTGATTGTCTATGATCCACACTTGGAAAAAAAAATATCCTAGGAAGATAAGGAAATGGAATCATGGAATTAGGAGATTGTAACGCAAGAGCACAGATGATGCTCAGTTAATTCAAAGCATACCAAGCATGTGCAGCAGAACCCTCAAATGTCTGCTTTGCAGTTGAAATCCCTGAGTACTGGAGTGACATGAAGCAGCAGAATTGGTGTGCGGTGGAGCTGCAGCCAAGTGATCCAGAATACACTACTGTGGCAAGCAAGTTTAACCAGACCTGCTCACAGTTTGTCATAGAGAAGGTAAGTCAACTGCTGACATCATGTCTCTGGATGGCAGAGATAACTGATATCATGGCCCTGTCTAAATGCATTTTTATTCATTTTCTATTGCATTTTTTAACCAGAATTAGAATATTTATGGTAATTAGATTCTAGATTCTATTTATGGCACCACAATTACTAAAATTTAAAGTCTCGTGTCAGTTGTTATAACACAATCTTAGACGACAATCCCATGTTAGAATATTAAAGATACATCGTATTTACTTTGTGAAGCAAGTTAATAAAATTTAATGATATGGCTTCAAAGTTGGATTTGATAACTAGCAAACATGAGATAGTGATGAATGGAGGGTCCTCACTCAGGATTCTGCTCTTTTTTGCTCCTGTGTTCACAGGTCAGAGGGTGCTAAATGCCTTGATAAACTCTGTAGCCTTTTCCCTATTCTTTTCAATTATTTTGGCATCTTCTATGTTTAAACATTATTAATACTGTCTTTTGAAATGATGTTCCTATATGACTTATGTGAAAAGATGTTTGACTTTTTTCTCCCTCTTTAACTAATTTCCCTCTCATTGTCAGTGTAATCTGTTTTTCCTCCATAGGACTCACAGTTTGGTCTTCTGTCTCTGTATCTCGCCGGGGAAATTTTTACCCCTCTTGCGTTCAGCCATTCTTTCAATCTTGATAATTCCTAAATCAACACCACCAAACTGTATCTTTTACTCAAGTTTCTAGAACTTACTCAAGTGGCCTAAAACCTCTCCACTTGAATGTGTAACTGCTAAATCAGCTTTTCTAAATCTAACTCATCATCTATTACTTCTGTGTTCTCTCCCTTCCCCACTTTTGTCCTTGATTCCACCATTTGCTGGGAAAATCAGAGATCTTTGATTACCTTCCATTCATCTGTAATAATGAGTCTGCCAGTAAGGCTTTCATTTTTTTTCTTTGCAAATTTTCTTTACTGCCTGCCATCATTCTGTTTATTCATGTAGTTAAACACATGATGATTCAAAAAGATCTCCAGTGTCCTACAAAGATATATACTATACCTTTAGATAAAATAAATAGATGAAGAAAAAATGCATAAAGAGAGAAAGAAGGTAGAGAAAATAAGATAATACCTAAATATTGTCAGGTCCCAGTATAACACAAGGTCACAGACAGTTGTACATTTGTCCCTGAGTTTCCTAGTTTCCTAGTGGACAAAGCCAATAAGTAAATACCTAGTAGTTACAAGACTCATAACATCCACAATAAAAGAATAAACCTTCTGATGACGAGACTCAGGGCTCTTCACAATTCTGAGACTGACTCCTGAGAGATTTCTCCGGTGACCTCAAGTATTGGAGAATATCCTTAACATCATCTTCATGATGAATTCAATATCAAATTTATATCACCTTTTCTTAAACCTCCTTTAATGTAAACAGGTTGAACAAAACTGATGCCTGATTGAATGAAAACAATTCTATGAGGAACCAAGACAATGGGATTCAAGTGTGTAGCTATTTGATGGTCTAGTTCTGAGATGACAAAGTGTCATTCCAAATGCCAATTACAGAAAACTGGTAGTGGCTGACTGGCCCATTTAACGAGATGCCAAATTCAGATGAGCTGGGAATGTGCTAATTGATGAGCAACATCTGTAGTAGGCCCTGGGAGGCCTGCCATGGGTGGACAGACCTCATCAGAGAAATGAATCCAATAATGTTTAAGTAAAATCTTATGTGAAATCCCATTGTAGGAACCAGGAAATCCTAGTGTATGAACCCAATAAAAGCGGAAGTAGGTAGTACTTACTCTGTAATACACCTCGGTGTTGTTCCTGGTAGTATGAAAACACCAACATAAAAAAATTGCTGCTCTGTCATCTTGCATTATTGTTATGTCTTATGATTAAGACTTTTTAATGTCCACAAACCTTGTGCTTAGATTCAACCATTTTACACATTTGCATTTGAAAGTTAAGTTATGGACATCATGACACTCTAAATAATTTAGTACATATTTTTTAAGAACAAAGACATTCTCTAAATTACAAAATACCATTATACTACGTAAGAAAATTACCATTAATGCACTAATATCCAGTATAGACACCATATTCGAAATTCTCCAATTGCTTAACAAATCTTTTTTATTCCTATTTCCCTGCTGTACCAACTTTAGTTATACACTATATTTGGTCATTATATCTTCCATATATTTTCTAATATAGAATCGTACTCCTGCATTTTTTAAAATAATTTTTTCAAAACATCAAATTTTTGAAGAGTTTAAGCCAATTGTGTTATAGAGTGTCTCAGATTCTGGACTTAATACCTTGGTATTTTGGAAAAAATTTCAACCAGTTTTCTTATAGATTCTAGGTTTATCTGATTCATCATAGAGTCATTTAATTTATTTCTGTATACTCTTTATTTCTGGTAAACTTGAGAATTAGATTTAAAGGTTGAGGTAAATTCAGATCAACATTTTTATAATACTTCATAGGTGATATTTCTCATCAGGAGTTTCATATGGTAAGTTTGTCCCACTGTTAATGATGCTAATATTAATGATGATGTTGTCCCCAACCATCGTTTATCCATTGATTTTAACACCCCCTGATCATTCTTGCCTGAATCCATTGTGTCTACAAGATGACGTTCTAATGCTGGCATTCCTTTTGTATTTCTTATCTGGCCATTTTTAAAAGAATAAGTTTTCTTCCCTCATGCTTTTAAAAAAAGGTTTATTACATTGTATTTAATTAGAGTGATTATTCCTTTAGATGTAAAAATCATCCTATGTGTGGCTGGTAGGAAATTGGCTTCTATGTCTTTTCCCCTTATACTTGGAACATTTCTTCACTTCCTGGCATAAGGTCACTCATGCCTACTTTGTGCTTTCTCTGTCTCAGGCTTGGAACCAGTTGTTTCCCTAAAAATCCTGATTGCATGTAGTGGGGAACGGCAGTAAGAAAGCAGAGTTGTGTGCCGAGTGAGCTCACTGCTACTGAGGTGTTGTGATTCCAGGCCCTTTCGTTTCTAAAGCTAAGAAAATCATGAGCTCAAATTTATGTTTTCTGTTAAAATTTAATATTATAGACTTTTTCTTAAAATATTTTTATTTGTTTTAATTAGTTATACATGACAGTAGAATGCATTTATGCACTTTGATATATCATACATAGATGGGATATAATTTCTCATTTTTATGAGGATACATGTTGCAGAATCATGTTGGTCATGTTGTCACATATATACATACAGTAATAATGTCTGTCTTATTCTACTATCTTTCCTATCCCCACATTCCTCCCTACCCTCCCATAACTTCCCTCTACCTAATCTAAGGTAATGCTGTTCTTCCCTAGTGCCCCCCTGTAAATTAGCGTCTGCATATTAGAGAAAGCATTCAGCCTTTGGTTTTGTGGGATTAGCTTATTTCGCTTAGCATGATATTCTCCAGCTCTAACCAGTTATACCACACCTTGATATTTATCCACTGGCAAATGCCATAATTTCACTCTTCTTTAAAGCTGAGTAATATTCCATTGAGTAGATATACCACATTTTCTTTATCCATTCATCTATTGAAGAACACCTAGCTTGGTTCCACAGTCTAGCTATTGTGAATTGAGCTGCTACAAACATTGATGTGGCTATGTCACTATAGTATGCTGATTTTAAGTCCTTTGAGTATAAACCAAGGAGTGGAATAGCTGGTCAAATGGTGGTTCCATTCCCAATTTTCTGAGGAATTTCCGTACTGCTTTCCATAGTGGTTGCACCAATTTGCAGTCCCACCAGCCGTGCATGAGAGTACCGTTTTTCACTATATCCTTGCCAAAATTTATTGTTGCCTGTATTCTTGATGATTGCCATTCTGACAGGAGTGAGTTGAAATTTTAGAGTAGTTCTGATTTGCATTTCTCTAATTGCTTGAGATGTTGAACACTTTTTCATATATTTGTTGATCAATTGTATTTCCTCTTCTGTGAAGTGTCTGTTCAGTTCCTCAGTCCATTTGTTGGTTGGATTATATGCTCATATGTGAACATGTGATCAGTGTAACTCCACATCATGTTCAACCACAAGAATGGGATCAAAATTGTAATGGATTGCACCTCATGTATGTATGTCAAAATGCTCTCTACTGTCATGTACATCTAAAAGCAACAAATAAAAATAATCTAATGCTGCTTTAATATATCAAAAATAATAGATGAAGTGTCACTAGATTCAAAATGAATATTTTTCTAGAAAGAAGGCAATTACTGTCATAAAAGCATAGTGTTAGAAAAATTATTATAGCTGAAAAGTATGTGATATGCCTATCTGTGATACAGTTAATTTTAAAAGTATCACCAAGCATACAAATCATAAGAATAAAATGCTGAACAATTAAAAAAAAAAACTACACTCAGATTCCGTGTAACTTCAGTTAGATTGGCAATCATCAAGAATAAAAGTAACAACAAATGCCTGTGAGGATACAGGGGAAAAGGAACTCTTGTACACTATTGGTGGGAATGTAACAGTATGGCCACTATGGAAATCACTATGGAGGTTCCTCAAAAGAGTAGGAATAGAACCACCATATAATCCAGTTATAGCCCACCTTGATATTTATCCAAAAGAATTAAAGTCAGTATACTCTAGAGATACATTCATAACTATTTTATAGCAACACAATTCACAACAGCGAAATTATGGAATCAGTTTAGGTGTTTGTCAACACCTATTTATGAATGAATAAAGAAAACATGTCTTATATACACGATGAAGTCTTCTTCCACCATAAAAAATGAAATTGTATCCTTTACAAGAAAATGGAACAGGAGAGTATCATGTTTAGCAAAATATGCCAGATTCAGAAAGTCAAGCATTGTGTGTCCTTTTGAAGCTACAGGAAAAAAGAGAAAAAAGGCGATGTTATGAAACTAGAAGGAAGATCAGTAGGTAGAGAAGTGGCATTAGGGAGAGGGAGGAAGAGGAAAGGAAGGTACTGGGGAAAGAAATTGCAAATTATGTTATGTGCTTGCACTAATATGCCACAGTGAACCCACTACTCTGTACAATTATTATGCATGAATAAAACATTTAAAAAAAGAAAATTTGATTTATAATAACATTAATTTTGTTTTGTATTATAAATATGATACCAAAATTATTAGCAAAATTAAAATAGCAAGACTAACTTTCTTTGGTTAGTTTTTTAGAATGTTTCATCTTTTTCTAGTCTTTGTCTTTTTTGTATTTTTTTAGTTGTAGTTGGACACAATACCTTTATTTATTTATTTTTATGTGGTGCTGAGGATCGAACCCAGGGCCTCGCACGTGCTAGGCGAGTGCTCTACCGCTGAGCCCCAGCCCCAGTCCCGTCCAGTCTTTGTCTTTTAATCATTTTATAGTTATATATTAGCTCATATATTTAAAATGTGTCTCTTAGTAGCAGCATATGAGTTTTGTCTTTCTCCTTATCTTTTAAGTAGAGTATTTAATCTGCTTATTGCATTTAATGTGTTTACTGATGTTTGGGTTTAAATATTTCACTTTAATAATTTTAAAATCATTTTTATAACTTTATTTTATTTCTTTATTTTTTATGTGGTGCTGAGGACCAAATCCAGTGCCTCACACATACTAGGAAGGTCTCTACCACTGAGCCACAACCTAGCCCTTAAATATTTTTATCAAATCTGTTCCTTGCTCTTTTTGTCCCTTTCTGACTTCTTTTCTGTTAATCGTTGCTGTTATTCTATTTTCTCCCCCTATTAGATTGTTGGTTGTGTGTCCTATTATAATTCTTTCCTTAATTACTCCGGAAATTACAAAGTATATCCTTGGTTTATGAATCTTTAATGTAGTATATTTATTATTATTTTTTCAGACAATGCAGCCACTTTTTAAACCCTATTTACCCCTGTCTGACTTTTTTGCTGCTCTTAACATTGACCAACATATTTACCTTTTCCTCCTAGTGCTCTTCAATACTTCCTTCATTTCTATGCTTCCGACTGGGATCATTTTCTGTACTTTCTCTAATATTGATCTAGTCGTGGTGGATTATCTCCAGTTTTGGTCTGCAATGACTTTATTTTGCCTTCCATCTTTGAAGGATAGTTTTTGCTGAGTATGGAATTCTGAATTGGCAATCATGTGTTTCAGGCACTTTGAAAAAGTTATTCCACCATGTTCTGACTTTATTGCTTCACTCTGTACTAGATACTCTACTGTTCTTCCCACAGTTACAACATGGCTAGGTCAACCAGTATCCCAGGAGGGCTGGGGCATCAAGAGGCAAAGGGACGGAGCAAGGTTATTGGACAGGGCAATAGAAGCCATTATTGGATGCACATAAATAGCAGTTACTGGAGAGACTGGATCATCAGATTTCTATCATGAGTACTTAAGATCCTAAATAGTTTGCTTTCATGTGTCTGTAGCAGATGTTAAAAAACAAACCAACATTCATCCCAATTTCTGTTTTTATGAAACTAGATATGAAAAGATTTCCAGGCAGAAAGTTGTCATTTTCTGTTGAGTGTAATTTTTATTTATGAAAAATAGTGATCATGTTTCATTGCCTGTATACTTAGCAAGTGCCCTTGGCACTGGCAGAATAATTTTTTTTTCATTAATTTGTAGATTGAAAGGATCCAGAATCCAGATCTCTGGAATAGCTACCAGGCAAAGAAAAAAACCATGGATGGCAAGAATGGCCAGGTACAAAATGAGAGGCTACTCTTCCACGGAACAGATGGTGGCTCTGTGCTATATGTCAATGGAAATGGCTTCAACCGAAGTTATGCTGGAAAGAATGGTAAGAACTGAGGGATCTACCTGCTCCAGAGAAGGTGTCAGCCATGAGAACCCAAGCTGACTAGGGACAAAGTGGATTTACTTATTTTCCCCATGGTTGGTGACCAGGTTGCAGACAAAGTTTCAGGGTAGGACTTACTGTATTCCATCCTAAAGGGACTCACTGGCCCTACGAGGTGGACAATTTGATTTTTAAAAACGAAACACACATGGATCCAGGCACCATGGTACACGCCTGTAATCCTAGTGGCTTGGGAGGCTGAGGCAGGAGGATTGTGAGTTCAAAGCCAGCCTCAGCAATTTAGCGAGGCCCTAAGCAACTCAGTGAGACCCTGTCTCTAAATAAAATACAAAAAGGGCTGGGGATGTGGCTCAGTGATTAAGAGACTCTGGGTTCAATCCCTGGTACCAAAAAAGAAAAAAAAAAAGACACAAAATATTTAAACTGAACATTTTTTTTTTTACATTATTTGACATAGTGGACCAACATGTCAAATTCTACACTAAATTGAAATTCTTAAACGTGTTTTGTTTTTCTCTTCACAGCTGTAGCATATGGAAAGGGAACCTATTTTGCTGTTAATGCCAGTTATTCTGCCAATAACACTTACTCCAGACCAGATGTAAATGGGAAAAAGCATATGTATTATGTGCGAGTACTTACTGGAATCTATACCCGCGGACACAGTTCATTAATTGTGCCTCCTTCAAAGAATACGCAAAATCCGACGGACCTGTACGACTCTGTCACGGATAATGAACAAAGTCCAAGTATATTTGTAGTATTTTATGACTATCAGGCATACCCAGAGTACCTCATAACTTTTAGATGACATTTTGGGTTCTTTCTCAAAAGCCATTGTTCATTTATACCTATCTAGTTGTAAAAACAAGTATCTGATTTTTAAAAACCTCTTAACAGCTTTTTCCAAGATTAAAATATCCTGAAAACTTCTTAGCTTCTCTTTCATGATGGAGATGAATTATGTCGAGAGCAAATAAACTTGAGAATTTGGGTGGACAACTGTGTGTCCACAGGTATGGACATCAAATCCATGGGAAAGGAACAGGTTTATATATTCAAGAAGGAGAGACTTATAGTCTCACAGACAGTAGACATAACCATACAATTCCAGCTGCCACTAGCAGGAGGACACAGCTGGAATCATGTCAGGATGCTACAGTGCTCTAGGAAGTATGGTGTGACTAAGTGCTGGGGCTGCTGTCTTCCTTGGGGGCCGGCATGATGTCTTATTCATGTTTTTGTCCTTGGAGTGTGGTCTCTATCTGAGGTGTAATGGATGGTCCATAAGTGTTTGATAAACCAATTTGGAATGAAAAAACCTTCTTAGTCAGATTCCTACCCAAAATAGGAGCCATCTCATCAGTATCCTTGACCTATATTGCCTTTTAATTGAATAGATTCCACTGCGGGGAACTTCTTCCTTCACAAACCAGCCCATGCCATGTGGGAGCTTGAGCTAGGGCTCTGACTACAGTGTGCTTGCACTCTGCACAAATGGGCACAGGTGGATTGCATCTCATGGAGTTGTGCAGCCCAGAAGCCACTCTACCTGCCAAACACTGAACCTAAGTTTGCCTTCTTACCACATCTACTCCCTGGTATTGACACTGTTCCATGAAAGCAATGGGACAGTCTTCAGTGGATGCCCTCCTATGCAGCTAAGGTGGATGGACTCTCAGGTTACTACACAGTGTATTTCCCTTGGCAGCCTCGCTTTTGACAGTTTTAAAGCCATGTGTATAAATAAGCCAAAGGAATTAAGCAGTCATTTTGCTAATTTGATAACTCAATATCTATTGGATGGTCAAGTTGGTTTTTATTTAACTTCCTCAGATAAACTTCAGATTCAAACACTATTTGTTGAGAACGTAGGTCAAATTAGATAGTATATTAGGTGCTTTCACATACATTATTTTATTCCTACAGACAATCATGTGAGTTAAGAGTTACATTTTAAGGCTGAGGAAACATGTTCAGATTGCAAGAAGCCTCCTTGCCTGAGGTCGCCTAGGCAGGAATCTCGAGAGCTAGCCATTGAGTCTTGGTACCTCAGCACCCTTTGCTCTTCTTCCCACCACAGAACATGGTCTCTGAATTAATACCATCGATTTGGGAATATCCCAAATAATCTTTGAAATACTCCCATAATTCCTTAGCTTTTTCCCTTCTGGCTTTGGTTTCCATTACATCTGCTCATTCGAAGTTCTGCAGGCCAAGAAGCCAGAGCCAACGCTGATGGGAAGCCAGTGCAGATGGCACACCTGGATGCTGGGATGGCGGGAGGATAGAGTCGCTCTTCCGAGGCTACAGGGAGCAACACCAGACCTTCCTTCCTGTGGAGGAGGGTGAGGAGGCCACAGGTGCTGCTCCATTGACAGAGGTCTTCCAACTTCGGCTGCTGCTGCCATTTGTCTATATTTGGATGGCAAAGACTCTGTATGTCTTGGGGGAGTGGCTTTCTAGCCAATGGCATCTGAACCCAGCACCAACAACTTGGAATAAAAAACACAGACCTAGTCTCATTTGCTTTTGTTCTCCAGGGCAAGGCTGAAAAGCAGAGTGTGGTGCACTTAGGATTAATGATCTAGTCAGTAAATGTTATAGTTATCATCAATCTAAATAAAGATGTCATTTTCCTCCTTTTTGGGTAAAATTACTTGGAAAATTGTCACTTGGTAGAAAACACTTTTCTCCCAAAGGGCACATGTGGGGGATATAATGCTAAACAGTGGCCACTGCTGATAAAAAGCCAAAACAACGTGACAGCATCATGGAATGCTCAAGACTACTAATATCCAGATGGAATGTACAGGAAGGGAGGGGCACAAGACAGGAATAGTTCAGTAAATCTGGAGGGAAACTTGACTCCTAGCAAGTAGCCCCTGCTGAAACAGGTGCACTTTGAGCCTGTGATAGGTCCTGGTGGGTCAGCATAAGGTCAGAGACTAAAACTTCTTGGTATTTAAATTACCAGAGGTGTGAGCTCCATCCCAAAGGAGTCAGTATCTGTAGTTGTAGTGGGCGGAGGAATCTGCATTTTCAGCAAGCATCTCAAATGATTCTGACAGCCCAGATACCCAGGGCCATCAGGACTTCGATGGGCCCATGAGGCTTTTTTGCCTTTGTAGTACTTTTCCCTTAGTATCTAAAAAAATTTAAAATTTTTAGCAACTGCATCGATATAAAACATGAATGTAGCTGAGGCTGGATTATATTCATTTTTTTCTGGCATTAAAAGAAATTAAGACATTTTTGTGGATTTCTGAAAGTATCACTGGCCCTTGAATTGTGCCTACTGAACCAAATGGATATATCAACTCTGCTGACTCACACCTTGGTGTTGTGACATCAGGTATATGTCTGAGCTTGTGTTCTTGAATACTTTGAAAGTATTCAAGAACACAAGTATTCACTGACTAATTGGTTTCACTCCCTTAGGTGTGCTTATCCATGAGACACAGCATGAAGTGGGAACCAGCTCCATTGGTGGGTGACGGTTCCCCCTTTACGCTGTTCTCTCTTAAAATGTCCCTTTGCTGGTGGACCAGGATCTCTGGCTGCCTCATAATCTCGATCCCTATAAAACCAGGAAATTAACTCCCATTTATACTTAGAAATCCAATTATACCAATGTCTTATCTTCTTCCCAGGCCTCTGCATGTCAAGGACTAGTACTTATAACTGAATGAAAGGCTTTCTCTCAGGAGACCTTTTAAACCTTTCTGACTCCAACCTAACTAAGTACATACATCTAGGCCAGTACATGTGCAGAATAAATAAAAAGTTTTATGATAACTATACTTCACCTCAAAGTAAGATTTTCCTGAAGTTTCACACAATAATGCTTACACTTACTACTGCAAGTCACTAAAATTATCTATAATTTTGAATATTTGCATGATTTTGAGTTGTATTGAATCCTAACACATTCTATTTCATATTGATCTCAGTCTGTAAATCAATATTTTGACTCATTAATGGGTCATAACAGCAAACATAAAAATTACCTGAAGAAAAAGATAAACCTTATATTTGGCCACAATATCCTCTGCCCCAAAGTATGGAGTATTGAAAACAAGTCCTTTAATCTGCTTAGTCAAATATTTAATGAGCACCTATTATGTGCTGGGAACGGATCAAAGTTCTTAGGAATAACTGTAGAATGTGCAGGGCATGCAAAGTCCTGAGATGGGGAGAGACTGACTAGAATGGCCTGTGCTCTATTCTAATTTTCTTTACAAACATCGTGCCCTTCAGTGCTTTAGCCCAGCAAACCATGTGGCCCCCAAGGCACTTATCTCAGGGCAGGCTGCTTTCCAGGGTCTCAAGTGGGCTAACTGCCACATGAGACTCCATTTGCCCAGCATAGTTTTCTTGGCCTTGAGAGTCTGATGCACAATGAATCCTAGGCTTCTATTGTCCTTTGCTGCATATCAGTAAGTAATAATTCCACTTTATATAACTTGTGTGTGTTCTCTCTCACTAGAGTCAAGACAAGTTGGTAATCAAGACACTGAACTTGCTACATAGATGGTGACAAGTGTCACAGAAGCGCCCTTCTCAGAGCCTTCTTTTCTTGGGTGTGCTCACATAACAATAGCCTCCCTTTCTCTCTCCCAGAAGCACCTACTTTCTTTGGATTTATTGATACCTTCAGTGTGAGGAAAGATAGATAGGGCCAGTAGTCAGTTGGTTCTAATAGGTGACTTCCTGTATCTTTTTTTATTGAGCATTTGTTTTATGCATGGTTACTCAGAGATCAATATGCTTTCTAATTTCTAATTTCTAAATTGTTAATTATCTCCAGGTCTTCTTACAAATATGAGGGTAGGGTCCATCTCACTAAACTAGGCTTTCAGTCACTATTTCAGCAGTTGATAGCACCCAGTACCATCTAATTCCAGGATTGGTATTCCTGCACAAGGAGAACTCATCTTGGAACCCCACCTGCTTTCCTCTTAAGGCTTGTATTTATATTTCCTCCTTGGTGCTTATATTTAAAATAGTATGGGATGGAGGAGGAAAAGCAAAGTTAACTGAGGAAAGACTTACAATAAAAGGAGTCACTTTGGCCAAAGAGCAATGTGTTTCCTGCTCTGAATGACAGGGGTCACCAGTGAGAATTCTGCAGGTGTCAGAAGTGAGATCACCTCAGATCCAGGCTAGAATCCACCTAATGAATTCATCCAACCAGGAGCTGGCAAACCTTTTCTGTAAAGGACATACAGTAAACATTTTTGGCTTTCTGGGCCATATAGTCTCTGTACTGAACTCTGCCACTGTCATGGCAAAGCTGCCATAGATAATATGCAATAAATGACAAAGGTGTGTTACAGTAGAGCCTTATTTACAAAAAGCAGCAGCATGTTGTTGCCTGGTTGAAGCGGCTGGAAACACCTGAGGCTTATATGTAAAACAGGCTGAAAAGAGGAGGAATGGCAAAGGGACTAAGGAAAGGCTTACAAATAAAAGGAATCAGTCTGGCCAGACAGCAATGGGCAGAGTAAACCAACTGATTTTTAATTAGGTAAGAATAAGTTCATTTACAAACATGTGCAAATTGACCTTTTGCTGTGCATTTTTAAATTGTAAAGTAGTCATATTATTTAGAAATATCCTTAAAATGTTATTTAAAAAGTCATCAATTGGAATCACAAGCTTTTCCCTTGTAACAAAAGTTGTGCCACCATTCTGGTCACTTGTGGATTCACCAAGCAGTCCAACAAGTCGTCTGTGGAAACGAATGTTTGAGAAGGGGCTGGAGCACTGTTTGAAGCTATTTGATCCACCCCAGCATTGTCACTTGTACTCATCGTCTGCTGCCTATCAGCACAAAACAGTTTTGCAAAGTGTTTTCCATCTTTGTCGACAAAGTCTTTGCCATCACTTTCAAATATGCCTCCTCCTTCTGAAGGTGTTTCTTTGGATCTCAGTGTTACAGGGACCAGATCAGGGCCAAAGAGACTTGCTGCCTCCTGTTTTATGGCTGCCATGGTTCCGTTCTGGCCTTGAGTTCCTTCCATCTCCACGCAGTTGCACGTGTTTAAATCTTCCTTTTGCAGGTTCTCCTTACTTGTTCTTGGTGCTTGAATTTCTACTCCCTTGGATGTTTTGTAATGATCAAGAAAGGCAACTATAGCTCCATTTAAGTAGTGGCAATTGACTTCATGGGATATTTCCTCAACCTAAGGAAAACAAATACCCTTTAGAGACATTTAGACAAATGGAAAGCAAGTGCCCTAACCATGGTTGATTTACCACAGAAAGCAACAACCACGATGAGAACAAGAGGGAGCCTACCTCCGTGGGGTTTAACCATGCTCTGGTATTGTGTGGGTCCTCTGCAGTTTTCAGTGCACACACAAGCATGCGGGTGATGGCCTCCTCCACCCGGGCAAGGTGGTCCTCTTCCTAAAGTGAGATAAAAAACTTCATTTTTAGCATTTGTCTCTGTGTCTCATGACTTAAAATGGAGAATAGGGTCCCTTTTAACTTTGTGCTCCATTCTCTCATGAATATAAGTATTGTTAGAGAAGGAGCAAATATATTGACAGAACTATAATTTTTATATATTCTCTATTATCTGCCATCTAGAAGAGGTACAGGATATTTCACCACATTTAAGTGTTCATGTTGTGTATGAGACACAGGTCTTAAGTATGAATCATCTTAAGATGGTTTCTCCATATTTTGACATGTTTAAAAATCTTAAGAAAAGTACTAAACTAAAATACAAAAGAATGATCCCTAGAGTTTGAAAACCAACTTATTTGAGAGATGGGAGAAAAATAATAGTAATGCCTGGCTATAAGAATGAGATAACTAGGGGCTGGGGCTGGGGCTCAGTGGTAGAGCACTTGCCTTGCATGTATGAGGCCCTAGGTTCAATCCTTAGCACCACATAAAATAAACAAACAAAATAAGGTTAAAAAAAAAGAATGAGATAACTATCTATCTAAACAACTTTTCTAAGATATGAAAACTATAAACTGTACAACTAATGATAAATGACACTTAAATCAGCAACTTCTATTCATCAAAAACATCATAAGGAAAAAACCACTACATGTCTATAATATACACGTATAATATACACATATAATATACACAATATAATTGATGAAAAATTAATATCTAGGAGAGAGATCCTGCACATATAAGACAAATGACATAATTTTTTCAAATGGGCAAAAGTCAAAAAAGAGCATTCATATGACTAATAAGTATATGAAAATATACTTAACCTTCAAAGAAATGCAAATCCAGAAGCCCATGAAACTGACAAAGGAGGGTCTCATAATTCTAAGTGTGGAGAAATGTAGGATCCTAGACAGGAGGCTTACTAATGGTGGGAGCTCTAACTGATAGACAAAAAATCTTGCACATGTGTTTTAAGAGACATGTACAAGAACATTCTTTCATAAAAACAAAAACTTGGAAATAATTCAATTATCCATCAACAGAACAATGAATGCATGGTGGAACCTAAACACAAAACAATATTGTAGGGAATGAGTGAAAAGCTACATGTGACAACACAAATGAACCTCAAAAACAGTACTGAATTTCAAAGAGCAAATCCCCATGATAAGACACCACTTCACACGAGGATGGCTTAAAAAAAAAAAAAAGAAATTAACAAATGTTGGTGAGGACGTGGAAAAATCAGAATCTTCATAAATTGCTGGGAAAAACATATAATGGGGCAGTTACTTTGGGAATTCAGTAGGCTAAACACAGAACATAGGTGATAATTAACCTTGACTTAAGTTGGTTAGGCTATAATACCCAGTTGTTTGCCCAAATGCTAGTCCAGATGTTGTTGTGAAGATATTTTCAAGATGCTATTAGCACTGACCATCAGTTGACTTTAAGTAATAAAGATCACTCTCAATAATATGAATGATCCTCATCCAATCAGTTGAAGGCTTTAAGAGTAAAAACAGGTTTCCCAGAGAAGAAATCCTGCCTCCAGAATGGAACAGAAATCCTGTGTGAGTCTCTTCTACATCAATTAGCCCTACAGATTTCAGACTCTTGACTGTAGCTCCAATTCTTGTCTGAGTTCCCTGCCTGCCCTGCAAATTATAGACTTGTCAGCTCCCATAAATAAAGTAAGCCAGTTTCTTAAGGGGAATCTCAATCTTTCTCTCTTTCCCCATTCTATAGACAGATAACAATAATGTCTATGTGTAGACAGAAAGCACATAGATATCTATATATACTTACATGTGGATACCACAAGTATATATGTCTATATATACATAGGAATATAACTGCTGGGTCAAATGGTTATCACCCAAGGTTCCCCAAAGAAATAGAACCAATGGAATATATATATATATAGAGATAACCGTTAACAGATAACACCATCTACTACTAGATTCACCATGTACACCATATACCATAAGATCCATGTTGTACCATGTACCAATACTTTTTCTTTATTTCTTCTGAAGGCTGAAAAATATTCCATTTGATGTATACACCACCCTTTATCAATTAATGGGTGGTGTTCACTTTTGGCTACTGTTAACATGTGTGTACACAGGTTTTATGTGGATACATATTTCATTTCTCTTGAGTATACACTTACGAACGGCATTGCTGGGTCATATGGTCTGTCCGGGTTCTCCAGGAAAAGAGAAACAACAGAATACATGAATGGATATATAGGTAATAAGACATTTTTTGAGAAAGAGAATGAAATTAGTTAAAATTATGCATATATGAGTATGCCACATTAAAACCCACTGTTCTGGGCTGGAGTTGTGTCTCAGTGGTAGAGTGCTTGCCTAGCATTTGTGAGGCACTGAGTTTGATTCTCAACACCATGTATACATATATAAAATAAGGGTCCACTGACAACTAAAAATATTTTAAAAGCTCCACTGTTCTGAATAATTACTATGCACCAATAAGAATTTTTTTTAAAAGAAAGAATGAAGACAGTGAAAAAATGGAGGGAGGGGCTTGGAAAGAGCACAACATAAAAGCAAGTCTTTGGTGATATTCCTAGTTTGGGGGTTAGGAGATAGATTCACTAATATTCATTATATTATCCTTTATATATTACAAATGTATTACATATATACCCTTTTACATGTAGAAATATTATAAAAGATATACTAAATAAAGATTATGAAAAAAGAGGAAAGCCTTTAAAATTAATGAAAAAATTTTCTAGCAAAGTTTTGAAAAAATAGTGATAAATACATTTCAATACCCCCAAAAATAAGGAGATGAAAAGGCACCAATGAGAATATACTTTACTCCCAGGGAATATAAAAAAAAAAGTCAGAAGCTGCATTTCTTTAACAGAGAAATTCAGAGGAGATAAATATTATATCACCTGCACAGAAGTAGACTCTCTACTTTTTCTGGATCTTTGAACATCATAAACTGGAATTAACTTAAAGTTCTGCGAGTATGGTAGGTTTTAAGACCTAAGAGCTTTTTGGAGCTAAATTTGGCAATAAGAACAAACACTCTAATAATTGACAATACAATAGTAACAGCAACACATAGCAGAGGAAAATGTAATTAGCCAATTACTGTTTTGCAATCTAGTTTTTAAAAAAGGAACATATGGTCTTTAAATTGTGAACTGTACAGAGGAAGGTAAATAAGGAACTGGAGTCCTAATTTGATGAAGGACAAAAATTGTCCACTTCAACTCAGTATTGAGTTCTCAGTAGCGTTTACCTAACTTGTGAGTACCACCTGGAGATCTGTTTATACTCAATGATACCAACCCTCTAGGGAACTAGGAAAAACCCTATAGAAGAACTAGACAGTGTATAATAAGGTTTTAAAAAGACCATGGTGAAATCTTTCAGACTATTGAGACCATGCAATTCAAATCTAAATAAAATATGAACCATCAGTATCTTATAGTACATTAAGACCAAATTGAAAAAAAAAAGATGTAAACTGGATTTATTCTAGAAATTAAGGGTGATTAATATAAAAAATCAAATTATATAGTTTACTACAATACTAGATTTTTACCAAAGAGGAATATCATATGATCATCTCCACTGACACTTAAAATCCATTCAACAAAATAACACCTTTTCCTGATTCTTTTTTCCCCTGTGGTGCTGGGAATTGAACCAGGGCCTTGCTCATTCTGGGCAAGCATGATACCATTGAGCTACATCTCCAGTCTCCCTTTCCTGATTTTGATTAAAAAAATAAATAAATATATATATATATATAAATGAAATAGCATTTGATGGATACTTAACTTGATAAAATATATATATATACTCAATTCTAAAGCTGCATTTTAAAGAGAAATCACTAGAATTCTCTTTAAAGTAAGGAACAAAAACATCTCTAGCAATTAGAGAAATATAAATTAAAACTATCCTGTGATTTTATCTCATTCCAGTCCAAATAGCAAATATCAAGAATACAAGTAATAATAAATCTAATTAGGATGTGGGGAAAAGGATACCCTTATCATTGCTGGTGAGACAGCAAATTGTTGCAACCAATCTGGAAAGCTATGAGAGTTCTCAGAAAACCAGGAATGGAACTACTGTTTGACCCAGCTATTCTCCTTCTTGGTCTATTCCCTAAAGACCTAAAAAGAGCATGCTACAGGGACACTGCTACATCGATGTTCATAGCAGCACAATTCACAATAGCAAGACTGTGGAACCAACCTAGATGCCCTTCAATAGACGAATGGATAAAAAAAATGTGGCATTTATACACGATGGAGTATTACTCTGCATTAAAAAATGACAAAATCATAGAATTTGGAGGGAAATGGATGGCATTAAAGCAGATTATGCTAAGTGAAGCTAGCCAATCCCTAAAAAACAAATGCCAAATGTCTTCTTTGATATAAGGAGAGTAACTAAGAACAGAGTAGGGACGAAGAGCATGAGAAGAAGATTAACATTAAACAGGGATGAGAGGTGGGAGGGAAAGGGAGAGAAAAGGGAAATTGCATGGAAATGGAAGGAGACCATCAGGGTTATACAAAATTACATACAAGAGGAAGTGAGGGGAAATGGAAAAATAATACAAGGGGGAGAAATGAATTACAGTAGAGGGGGTAGAGAGAGAAGAGGGGAAGGGAGGGGAGGGGGGATAGTAGAGGATAGGAAAGGCAGCAGAGTACAACAGACACTAGTATGGCAATATGTAAATCAATGGAAGTGTAACTGATGTGATTCTGCAATCTGTATACGGGGTAAAAATGGGAGTTCATAACCCACTTGAATCAAAGTGTGAAATATGATATATCAAGAACTATGTAATGTTTTGAACAACCAACAATAAAAAAAAAATAAAAAAAGAATGAGAATAAAGACTCAAAAAAAAAAAATGCAAATGAATATGAAGTGATCCAGCTTCTAAAAGAAAACATCGGCAAATTCCTTTAGGACCCAGAAAAGGAAAAAGTCTTTCTCACTGTAACCCCAAAACTAAAACCAATAAAATCTGACAACACATTCTGTTTATAAGGCTCTGGAAGAAACAGGCACTCTCCTACACCCCTGGTAGGAATGCAAAATGGCACAGTCACACTGGAGTGAGATTTGGTAAAACCTAGTAAAATTAAAGATATATTTATCCTACGACTTGGTAAACCCACTTTCAATCTTCCCCAGGGATGTTCTTCAACAAACAAAAAATGCACAAGGTTATTCACTGGCATTATTTGTAATTACACAAGATTGGAAAGAATGCAAATGTCCATCCACAGGGGGTCTACTGAATAACAGTGGAGTGTTCTCATGATTGGGTACTATATAGCTGTTTAGAAACAAATGATGATTTCTCTGTACTATTATGTAGGCAAATTGAGGATATCATTTTTAAATTAAAAAATAAGGCACAGAACACTATAGTTTATTACTTTCTGTGTAAGAAAGAGAGGAAGTAACTATATATGCACAAAAGTAAATTGTATATACTTATTTGCACAGATAAATATACTCGTCAGTTTTACACATACACAATACACACACACACACACACATTTGCAGACAAAAGACACACTTGAATGATGAACTAGAAATGAATAAAAATGGATCCTTACAGAGGCAGGGAGGAATGGGGTGGAGGAGACAGGGATGAAATGGGGATGTCTGTGAGCATACCTTTTAATACAGTTTTGACAAATCAAATGATTTACATGTTGATTATTAAATTAGACCAAAAAATGAAGAAAAACTCCTAAAATTTTAAACAAACTGCAACAAATGGAATATCATCAACTCAGCCACAAATGAAAAGAATTCCTTTATAATGAAACTTTTTTTGGGGTGGGGACAGTTCCAAGGATTGAACTCAGGGGCACTCAACCCTTTATTTAGAGGCAGGGTCTCACTGAGTTGCTTAGCACTGTGCTTCTGCTGAGGCTGCGATGTTCCTGCCTCAGCCTCCCGAATCACTGGGATTACAGGCATGTGCCACTGCGCCTGGCTACATTGAAACTTTTGAACAAAACCCTTTGTACTCTCCTCCCTTTCATGGGCTATAGTCTAATGATGAAAATAATTGCAATGAAATTTCCAATTCTACTTACAAGTTTTATGCTTAATAGTAATATCAGTATTGGGATTTTAATGTAAATGGAACATCTTAAAAATATATTATTTGGGGCTGGGGTTGTGGCTCAGTGGTAGAGCACCTGCCTGGCATGTGTGAGGCTCTGGGTTCGATCCCCCGTACCGCATATAAATAAATAAATAAATATCCAGAACAACTAATAAAATATTATATATATATATATATATATATATATACACACACACACACACACACACACACATACATATATACACACACAAACACACACATATATATAGGACTATACGCAGGCAGATGACAGCTCCACTGTTGAACAACAGAGGAGCTTGCTTTAGGGCCACTGGAGATGTGACATTGGCACGGACAGCAGAGGTGGGCTCTAAGGACGGCACTGCAAATCTACTCCAACTCCAGTTAAGCAAGCTTCAAGCAGATTCCTGTGTCTACTCACCTCCTGCCACACTTTTCACCTACACTCCAAAGTTTATACCACTCCCCTCACCTTCGTCTATATGGAGCAGCTTCCTGTGCAATACTCCTTACTGCGAATAGCCCTATCCATTGTTGCTGAAACAGTACATTTTCTTTTTCAAGTATTTGAAGATACCTGCCACATGTCCCCTGAATCTATTCTTCTTGCAAGCCCCAAACCTCTAGTTTCTTTACTGATATGTTTTTATGTTCCAAAGTCCTTCCTGTTACCAAAGGAGAGTGAACATTGACTGTGGGGGAGGAGGAAGCTACAAAGAGAGTTAGAGAAATGCAATCAAGGATTTGGGTTAAGGAGATCAGAGATGCAATGAGGCCCTGGGATTAAAGAGGGCACAGATGCAATTAAGGCCTCGAGTTAAGGGGACAGACATGAGCATAACAGGCAGCTATTGTAGTTGTCAAACAGAGCAGGCAACCAGGATTCAGGATACCATATTGGTGAGGAAAGGTTTCTTGCAGAAATCAATGATAAAAACCAAGTACCGAAAGACTCTACTTTGAAAAAATATATAAGTTGAGACTAAGAATTCTATAACTAGTAATGAGGGCCCTGAATCCAGAAGCAGATACTTCCAGAACAAGACGGTGTGGGATGGGACTGCCTCCATTGAGCACATACAGCAGATCTCTCCAGTTCCAACACAATCCTAACAACACTGGTGACGGCAGAGGGCTCTGCATGTCAACAACAGTACCCATCACGTAGGTCCTTTGAAAAAGGAGAGTGGAGCGCCTCTAAGAATTCTATTTCCAATGTAAATGTCCATCAACAGAAGACAGAATCATAGCATATCAAATCAAATCAATCAGAGTGTCAGTTAAATAAATTAATTGCCAAATTTTATAGACAGGCTTTATATATCAAAAGCAGGGACTTTGTGCATTTTTATAAGGATGACAACAACAAAAGAAAGTACCAGTTCAATCCATGAGTTTATACTGACAGTGACAGGATCAATGGACTCGACGTAATGCCACCAGTGTCTGGGGACAAACAGAACCTGAAAACCAAACAAAAAAGAGTTAGCACAAGAACTGGACATTTCATTATTAAGTTAGAATCAGACCCCGATTGAGGCTGCTAGAGGGGGGGAAAAGCCAAATGAATTCATAAAGGAAAGGGAAAGAAGAAAAAAAAAACCACAGTCTTTTTTTCCTTTTATTCCTTTCTTCGTTAAGTTAATGTGTTGTACCTAGGCTTCTGCCAGTTTCTCTACTCTCCTGCTCCTGAGCCTCCCCTGCCCACCTTTTAAGGCTTCTGAGATTCAAGGTTTTCCTCACAGAACAGCTGAATGCAATCTGAGGAAAGGCACAGGCAAAAGTGAAGGACACAGTTTCTGTCCTTTTATAGTCCCCAGTCGAGCCCAGGAGAAGACACATGTAAGAAGATGGCCCGAGTAAATGAGAGGACATTCAGGGCTTGAGAACTTCAAAAGTGGGAGAAGCAGGATGCAACTAGGGAATGGAGAAAGTGTGATTTGAACCAGGGCACAGAGAGAAATTAGAGAAGAGAATGAGCACATGCCAGGAAGAAGAGAATGAGCACATGCCAGGAAGAAGAGAATGAGCACATGCCAGGAAGAAGCGACACTGGCAGAAGAGGTAGACGGCTGAGTATGTCAGACTTACGGCCGCAGCAGGAGTGATGGGAGGTAAGTTGGGAAAACCACGTGAGGGCCTGTGGTGGACCCTGAATCCAGAATAAAGAATGGGGATTTCATCCTGTAGCTTTGGAGACACTGAGAAATTCTGAATAGGAGGATGGTTAAAAGAGTAACATTAAGAGCAAGTCTGAAAAGGACAGGAGATTCTTGTGATGGTCCAATTACTGAAAGATCTAAACAGGAAGTTTTACTAGTCAAAAGCAATGTGCAAAGTCAAGAAGAATGGTAGGTAACTGCTCAGACTCAGTATGAGACTGCCTACTGAAGGCTGAGAACGGCAAATGAGGATGATCTGAAGCTTTTGGATTTAGGAAACCAGTGACACTTGCTCTAATGGGGAAGAGTTCCTTTTAGAAGTGGGCATTAAAAAGGCCATTGGATTTAGTTACAAAGAGGTGGATATGGGCTAGGTATGGTGGCACATACCTGTAATCCCAGTGGCTTAGGAGGCTAAGACAGGATCACAAGTTCAAGGTCAGCTTCAGCAAATTAGCAAGGCCCTAAGCAACTCAGTGACACTGTGTCTCAAAATTAAAAAACAAAAAGGGCTGGGGATGTAGCTCAGTGGTAAAGTACCTCTGGGTTAAATCTCCAGAGCTTCCCACACTCCTAATAAAAGAGGTTCATATAGTTTGAAGTGTCCCCAAAAAGGCCCATGTGTTGAGAGTCTGTGGTGCCACTGGAAGGTGGTAGGCCTTTTAAGAGGTGGGACACAGTGCAAAGAAGTTAGGTCACTGGGGGTGTGCAATTGAAAGTGATATGGGGGCCCAAGCCCCATTCTGTCTCTATCTTTTGTACCCCTACCACCATAATGGCAGTATCTACTTGTGCTATGCACTCCTATCACGATGTGCTGTGCCACCACAGGTCCAAAGCAACAGAGCCAAGTGACCATGGACTGAAACCTCTGAAACCATGAGCCAAAACCAATGTTTTCCTTTATTAAGTTTTTTTTTTCTCAGTATTTTGTCACAGTGATTGAGAGCTGAGTAACACAGACGTGAATGTCTTATCATAAAATACAGTTTCAGTAAAGTGGTGAGAGAGAACTTGTACATGGTTAACCAAAGAACAGGCAGCATGTAAGGAAATCTGATGGACAAAACCAGTCATTCAAACTTGGCTACTAAAGATGGAAGAAAAAATGAATTGGCAACTATCTCATACCCACTAGAATGGCTATAGGAATTATAATAATTAAAAAAATATATCAAGGGTGGGGGAAAAAGTGAAAAAATTCTTCACTCACAGATTATTGGGGGAAATGTAAAACTGTAGAGCCTCTATAGTAAATAGATTGGTAATTCTTCAAAAAGTTAAACATAATAGTACAATATGATCTACAAATTATACTCTTAGGTACCTAACCCAGGAGAAATGAAAACATATGTTCATACAAAAATTTGTACACCAATGTTCAAAATAGAATTATCATAAAAAGTGGAAATAACCCAATGTCCATCAACTAATGAATGAATAAATTCATTAAATGAATAAAGACATGTGAATGTATATAGAAATGTATAGATTCCTTTAATATATACAGGAATCTATATAACAGAATATTATTCAATCTTAAAGAAGAATAAAGTGATGTTAACATACATGTTAACATAACATGGATGATGCTCAAAAGAAACCATACATAAAAGGTCATATGTGTCTGGTCTCACTTATGTGAAATATCTAAAATCACAGCAAACCTATGCAGACAGAAAATAAATTAGTGGTTGTCAGAGGCTGAGGGGAAAGAAGTCAGTGGGGAATGAGCTAAGGGTGGAGGAAACTTGATCAAGTCAAATTGTATGAGTTGGCAGTACCTGAATGAGAAAGAAACAGGAAGAGGGCCAGTTAAAAGGGAGTGATGGAAGGAAGACAGACAGGGGAGGGGAATAATCAAGGGAATAAAGCATCCATAATAAGAGATTATGAAAACCTCTTAACAGACATCTAGAGAATAGATGTCAAAATCATTTTCTTCTCAATTGCCCATGGAAAATTCTGCAAAATAGACCATATTTTAGGCACCAAGCAACTTTAGCAAATATGAAAAAAAAATCAATATAATTCCTTGTATCTTATCAGATAATAATGGAATGAAATTAGAAATCCACATCAAGAAAGACTACAGAAATTATACAAACACAGGGAGATTGAAAAATATACTTTTTGAATGATGACAAGAGAAATCAGAATTTAAAAATTCTTAGAATCAAGTGAGACTACAGACACAACATATTAAAATCACTGGGACATTATGCAGGTGAGTTTTTTCTTTTCTTTTCTTTTTTTTTTGGTGTGGTGCTGCAGATTGAACCCAGGGCCTTGTGCATACGAGGTAAGCACTCTACCAACTAAGCTATATCCCCAGCCCTGAAGGTGATTCTAAAAGGAAAGTTTACATCTAGGAGTGCCTATATAAGGAAATCAGAAAGATCCCAAATTGACAACCTAAGGATGCATCTTGATGCCCTAGAAAAACAACAAACCAATTCCAAAACCAGTAGGAGGAAAGAAATAAGACCAGAGCCCAAATCAATGAAATAGAGCATTAAAATTACAATTAATCAACAAAACAGTTTGTTCTTTGAAAAGATAAATGAGATTGATAAACTCTGAGCCAAACTAACCAAAACAAACAAACAAAAACCAAAAACCACCAAATTAATAAAATTAGAGGTGAAAAAGAAAATATCATAAAAGATATCACAGAAATCCATAGGATCACTAAGGGCTATTTTGAAAACTTACATTATAATAAATTGGAAAATATAAAATAAGTGGATACATTTCTAGACATATATGACCTGTCCAAATTGAACCAAGTGGATATAGAAAACCTGAACACACTAATAACGAGCAATGAGATTGAAGTAGTAAATAAAGTCTCCAAACAAAGAAAAGCCTAGGATCACTTCAGCTGAATTCTACCAGATCTTTAAATAAGAACTAATACCAATGTTCTTCAAACTATTACATTAAATAGAAAGTAGCAGAACACTTCCAAATTCATTCTATTAAGCCAGTACCATCCTGACACCAAAACCAGATAAGGACACATCAAGGAAAGAAAACTGTAGATCAGTATCCCTGATGGACACAGATGTAAAAATCCCTAGTAAAATATTAACAAATTATATTCATTACTATATTAAGGAGATCATACATAAAGACCAAATGGGTTTCATCCCAGGGATAAAAGCATGGTTCAATATATATAAATCAATAAGTGTAATTCACCACACAAATAGAATTAAGAACAAAAAAAAATCATTTAGTCATTTCAGCAGGTGCAGAGAAAACCTTTGACAAAATTCAGCACCTGTTCATGATAAAAGCAATGAAGAACCCCTAGGCATAGAAGGAACTGACTTTGACATCATAAAGTCTATATACAATAAACCCAAAGCCAACATAATACTGAATGTGGAAAAACTAAAAGTATTCCTCTAAAATTCAGAACAAGACAAGGATGTTCATTCTCACCATTCCTATTTAATTTAGCACTTGAAATTCTAGCCAGAATAATCAGTCAAGAGAAAGAAATAAAAGGGATACAAATAGGAAAGAAAGAAGTCAAATTATCACTGTTTGGAGATAATATGATCCTATATTTAGAAGATCCAAAAAGCTTCATGAGAAGACTGCTAGAACTAATTTAAAAAATAAGCAAAGTAGCAGGATACAAAATCAACATACAAAAATCAATAGCTTTCCTATACACCAATAATAAATTTTCTGGGAAAAAAAATCAGGAGAACAATCCTATTCACAATACCACTATCTCCTTGCCCCCCATCCCCATAACCAAAAACAAAATGAACACACAAAAAACACCAGGAATAAATCTAAGAGGTGAAAGATCTCTGTAATAAAAATGATAGAACAATGAAGAAAGAAATTGAAGAAGATGAAAGACCACCCATGTTCATGGATAGGCAGAATTAATATTGTTAAAATACCCAGACTGTCCAAAGCGATATATAGATCCAATGTAATTCCTACCAATGACATTCTTCACAGAACTAAGGAAAAAAAGTCCTAAAATTCATTTGGAAGAATAAAATATCCAGAAAAGCGAAAGCAATTTTAAGCAAAAAGAGCAATGCTGCAGGCATCACAATATCTGACTTCAAATTATATTATAAAGCTATAGTAACAGAAGCTGTATGGTACTGGCATAAAAACAGAAACATGGACAAATGGAACAGAAGACACAGAGATAAAACCATACAGATATTGTCTGCTGATCCTTGACAAAGGTGCCTAAAACATATATTGGAGAAAAGACAGCCTTTTAAACAAATGGTACTGGGAAACCTGGAAATCCATAACGTAGAAGAATGAGACTAGATTCTTATCCCATGCTGCGCAAAGATCAACTCAAAATGGATCAAAGACCTAGGAATTAGACCAAAACTTTCCTAACTCCTAAATGAAAATGTGGGATCAACACTCAAACATTTAGGCACAAGCAACAACTTTCTGCATGGGATTTCTAAAGCTCAGGAAATAATACCAATAATGGGATAGCAGCAAATTAAAAAGCTTCTACACAGCAAAGGAAACAATTTAGAGTGTGAAGAGAGAACCTAAAGAATGAGAGAAAAGAAATTTTCCTGGCTACTCAGTCAAATAAGTCAGACACAGAAAGTCAAGGGTGGTATGTTTTCTTTTATATGTAGAAACTAGAGGGAAAAAGATTTTAAAAAAAAAAAGATGGGAAGAGGAATCTTGTGAAAATAGAAAGGGAACCAGCAGAATAGAGGAAGAGAACCAGAAGTGGGGGAGGGAAGAAGAAGGGGAGAAACTGGGGAATGAAACTGACCAAATTATATTGTTACACTGTGTGTATATACAAATATATGACAAAGAATTCTACTATGATGTATAATTATGATGCAAAATTAAGATAAATTTTATAAATTTATAAAAATAGAAAAAATTTTAAAAAGATTATGAAAAAGTTTTCATATTGCTAATAAAATATTGGATAGCAATGCCAATGTGGTAAAGAAGTTTTCCCCACTGAGTAGCAGCATTAAGTATAATGCCTTTAGAAATAGTTCAGAAATAGTCAACATTCTTTCCCAGAAATAAACCATCCTTAATTCTGTCTGCATGTGTTGCCCACTACCTGGATACATTCCAACCTAGTTTATGTACATAGGTTCAGTATTATTGTACTTGAACAGATATTTAAAAAAAATTTTTTTTTAGTTGTAGATGGAAACAATATCTTTGTTTTATTTATTTATTTTTCTATGTGGTGCTGAGGATTGAACCCAGTGCCTTACGCATAGGAGGCGAACACTCTGCCACTGAGCTACAACCCCATCCCTGAATAGACATTAATTGTGAATAAATACTGCAGAAATGCTCAGGTACCCATGCCTTAAAACTCTCTTAACCTCAATAGAAATGGCTTTGTGGGCTCATCTTTTTCCAAAGTCTATTTCCCTCTTCACCAATAGAAGGCGCTGTGTTCCCTCCCCATCTCCTTTCCAGGGGTTTGTAAAGCAGAGATGCAGGTGCAGGAGCCCCAGAGTTGGGGAAGCTATGCCAACAGCACAAAGGAAACCATTCTCATTTTTACTGAGGGAGAAGAACATGAAATAAGGATTTCAGAGAGTTACAGCTGTGGTGTCCACTGATGGCTCATAATGTTTTAAAGCCCCATTACCTGTCCTGGGCTCAGCGTGACCGTATGTCTTCGAGCTTTCTGGAACTGAGGAAAACGCTTTAAATCAGGATTGACAACATTGATTTTACTGAACACGCTAGATTCTTCATAAGGGATTCTGGTTGGATAAAGGAAAGGTGTATCTTCAGGAGGAAAGAGATGCCATCTTTTCCTGATTGAAAAAAATAAGATATAAGTTAGGATTGTGAACTTGAGACAAAACATGTAAGAAGGCAGCAGCTAAATGCTCATGTTTACCCATTTACAATCAATCCCTGGAGGAACACAGGCACCTGGTTGTCTCTTATTCAATGCTCTACAGATACCTGGTATAGGTTCCTCACTACTATTGGACTTCCTGACCTGCTGAGGCAGCCCCTTTTATGCTGGGACAGGACATAGTTTGTAAGATCATTTTTTCATATCTCCAATCAAAGTGTGCCTACTCATACATCACCTTGATTCTTGATTCTGGAGCTACTGAAAATAACCCTCACCCTTTCATATCTGTATTCATACCATATGCAAACTAAATGCCCATAATTCCATCCACCAAATTGTTTCCAGACTCCTCCCTCTCTGAATGTCTTAAGCATTTGTTAAGTTAATCCATTAAGGAAGAGAAATGTACAAATAAAGTCACATTAGTAAAAAGTGGTATGATATAGGAAATTTCAAATAGAGAAAACTGTAAAATGTTTTATTCATTTAGGCTTTTTTGAAAAAAGGAGATAACAAATCTTAATTCACAACACACTTGACACATCCATACTTAGGCCAATAGAGGGAGGACATCAGAGGCCAAAGGGGGAGAAGTGTGAGAACAAGAGATGCAGACAGGAAGACACAGATAGGAAGCAAAGAAAAAAAAAAACAAAAAACAAACCCTACTTCTGAGAAAAGAAGTCCTAAAGCCCTTCTGTGACCCCTGGCAGTTATCCCTGGGGTTACCAAGTCCTTTCTGAACAGGGAAACAATGACTACTATTTTCAAATTAAAAATTATATATTAAAGGGCTGGGGGTGTGGCTCAGTGGTAGAGAGATTACCTAGTAGGTGTGAGGCACTGGGTTCGATTCTCAGAACCCCATAAAAAATATATAAAGTTATTGTATCCATCTACAACTAAAAAAATAAAAATACATATTCAAGTCATTTTTAGTTTAGAAATTTGAAGGTTTTACAGAAGTAGTAAATAAAATACATTGTTTTGCAGAAATTCAGTTTGAAACTAAAGGCACCTTATCAATTTACAAAGCCATCAGCTGATGGCCTCATCTCAAAGCTCTGAGATAACAAACCTGCTCCACTCCACTGTATCTATGGCTAGTTTAGAACAAATTTTCAGTATTTAATTTGTTTAGAATGCTAGAGCTCGAAGGGCTCTGAAAAGATCATAGGTCTAATTTCATTTTCAAAACAGTGGCAGAGAAACCCAGTGCCTGCTCAGTACCACTGAACAGCCTCATGTTATTGGGGACAGGAACTAGGGTTACAGATCTGGCTTCTCCAGATCTTGGCTCCTCCCACTGCACCAGGTCAGTATTTCACAAAGGAAGAGTCAACCCATCCAATCTGCTTCAAATGTTAAATCTGTGTGTCCTTCTAGCTGACCATCACATCATCCCCTTCTCAAAAAAAACTCTCATGGTTCTGCATGCTGAAGGAACAGAGAATAAGCAGCTTTTGTCTGGGAGTTAAGACCTTCATGCTCCAGCCTGCTTTTCCTGCCCAATCCGGCTCTTCCTGGTGCAAAACTTAACAATGGATTTTTACAAGGTCTGCTACACATCCCAAGCTTTCGAGAGCTCCTCTCATCTGTCATTTGAGCACTCAAACACCCTTTAAAGCTCTCCACACCCAGCAGCTCCTCCATGAAATCATCTTTGATCTTTCAATGGAAACATTACCTTTTCTTTTCAGTCCAGAGCTCAGTGAATTTTTCCTCAAGGGCATGTACAGTCTGCCTTCTATCTCAGCTATCTGTGGGCCTGCCTGCACTCCAGCTGTAAGCCCTCCAAGGGTAGAGAGGTACCTTACTTCTGTACTTACTGTAACACGTGGAACCTTAATGGACACTTACTAAAAGTATTTTATTTCTCCAGAGCCATATGAAGACAGAATATATGCTCTATTACAAAGTTACAGTAAAGTTTATTAACTTCATATTATAGAAAGGACTTGAGCACTTTTTGGTAATGTTTTTCCAACTGGAATTTCTTTGGCTTATTTCCCAATTCAGAACACACGAGAAGTAACTGCTTAAAACAAGGTCTTCTCTTAGCAGATTTCAGAATTAACTCCATAAAGGCAGAGACCATGCACACTTGATTTACTGTTGCATCTACAGACTGCAGCAGTGAGGCCCAGACATTCTAAGCCCTCTACAGTAGAGACTTGATGGATCCAATAGTGGACTCTCCCAGACCACTCTAGTTCTGTGAACCCTCACATGTGATGTTCTCTTGGATCTGCTCCTAATCATTTCATGTCTAATGATTCTGAGAACTTGCACATAGCCATTTCTGTTTTCCCCTAGTGCTGCCCAACAAAGGACCAGAAGGCCAGAAGAGAACACTGGGGCATCATTAATTAGGGGAAAATAAGGCTGCACAGAGGACATCTGAATACATCCTCTAGGCAGCCGAAACCTTACACTCTCACGGAGCTCCAGAAATCTAGGGCTATCAAAAGTACTGTGGTCTTGGCCCTTATATTTTATGGGTCCACAGATGGAGATAAAAACTGATCTAAGGTAGTACTTTATAGCACTGTGTCTACAGGTAGGTCCAAACTGAAATTTATAGTTGAAAAGTACCATAAAAAGGATTTGATCCAGACTCCTTGGTATCCCCTCGGGCTTGAGGGCAACAGTTGAAGTACTCCTCCTTTCAAGTAACTGCTCTGCTTTTATTTACTGAGAGCTGAAGAAAGGGTGCTCCTGCTTTTAAAGAAAAGTTTGGAAAACATAAACCTATATACTCTTAATATAATATAAAAAATCCAGTGGAGCCCAGCTGAAATGGGAGTTCTGAAGACAATCCTGATCATGGCTGAGAGGCTTGGAAACCACCATTTCACCTGCTACCCTCAGTTCACAAAAAAGGAAACAGACCCAGAGGCAAAGAGGACTGTTCTGGCTTAAAGCAGGCTAACAGGACAGGCTGGGAGTAAGGCTTGGGGTCCTCCTGCACACTCAGTACACATTCCTCTGTCCCTGCTTGCATGTGCACATGAACACACACACACACACACACACACGCACACATACGAACCCTTGTGCATTACCTTCCTTGTACCTGGAATACTAAGTTGCAACCATAGGAGTCCAGATGACAGGGGGTATGGGCTCCCAAGGAGCCAATCCACAATGTACTTTCCTGTCCATTTCTTCCAGGAAAACCAAAATCAGACCATATCACGTCCTGTTTTGAAATGAAGGTACAGTCCATCAAGAACTAACAGGCCCCTCTGTTGGCAGTGTTGTACATTTTCACTTAACACATCTGTTTTTGGCACTTAGAATAATCTCTTGCAGAAAATGCTACTGATGAGGAGGAGGACAGGTTTCCAGGGCAGTGTAAAAACAATCATTTTAACCAAAAACATATCTGAATACCCTCACTAACAGTAGTTATTCACTAAATATACACTAACTACTTACAACATGCCAGGAACTGTTCTAAAGCTTGCGATGAATACACAAAACAGACAAAAATGCCTGCCCAGATGAAGCTTAGATCTGTTGGAGATAA